CCATCTGAATTAGGAGAGGAAAGTGGGACAAAACAGTCAGTGCGCGCGTGCGAGGCCATGGCCTTCGCAGACGTGGTGGCTTCGGTGCAAGAGCGAAGTATGCCGAGCAGCACTGACTTTATTTTTCCCATGACTGCCCTAACTAAATTATACCAGCAGAGATTGGCGCAGCTCCTTGGTGTCGGTACGGCGGATCTTCCTTCAGTCCACACAACAAGGCTTCGAGAGAAGTTCCAGGAGAGCTTCCCCCACCTGCGGCTGGAGAGGCCGTCCCAGGAGTACGTATTCGTCAAGGGCAAGTTTGCGCCTGTTCTAGTCCCGCAGTACGAGATGGACCTGGACGTGATCGCGTTCAAGCGCTTCGTACGCGAGCTGCGGACAGAAATGCTGGGCAACCCCGTGACCTTTTCGGGTTCACTGCGGCGAGACGAGCAGGCCGCGAAGACGCCAGCGACACTAGGCGCTGTCAACATGCTGCTCTACGGCCCGGGGGCGGTTGACATGGACCGGGCAACTCAGCCTGCCCTCTCTCTCGCACAGTTGTTGCATTTTAACACCCTCGCACGCCAGCCGAGAGGTTATGGCGTGCGACATGTAAAAGAAAAGGAGACGCTTTTGCCCGTTTTTCTGTCCCTGTCGGCCTACGCGAGAACTCGGAGTAAAGAGTTAGTCAAGGAGCTGCACGCCCTCGGCCTGGGCATCTCCCCCACGAGAGTGTACGAGATAACATCCTCCCTGTGCTACCTGACCGTGATACGAGCAGAAGAGGAGGGGTTCCTCTGCCCAGCTGAGCTCCGCCGTGGACTGTTCACTATTGCAGCCCTGGACAACGTGGACCACAATCCGTCCAGCTCCACGGCAAAAGGCTCCTTCCACGGTACGGGGATCTCTGTATTTCAGGTCCCAACGAAGCAGTGCCCTGGAGAACACCGCACTTTCAAGACGACGTATGTGGACGTGCCCCAGTCACGCACGGACGTCCCAGACCTACCGGACAGTTATGCAGTCGTACCGAGTGTCGTGCTGAGGTCCCGGAAGCCGGCCACCCCCGCAGCGCACCCAGGTACAGGGGAGAGTATGGTGGCACAAAGTGAAGCGTGGGAAGAGAGACAGACCGCATGGCTTAGCCACGTAAGAAATGTGGTCCACGGTGGAGAGCACGGCCTTGACCTCACGTGGGCAGCTTTTAACGCCACAAACTTCTCGAGTGAAAGCGATACTTTGCCTATTGTCAACACGCTGCTTCCCCTCTTCGAAGAGGTCGCCGAAACACCTTCGATGGTCAAGCATGGATTTGATATTGTGACTAAGATAACCAACATGGTTAACCCTGGCCAAACACCTACGATTTGCATGGACCAGCCTTTGTTTGCGCTAGGAAAAATATTACAGTGCAACTGGCCGCAGACTTACGGCGAGAGTAAGATTGTCCTCCTTATGGGCGGTTTGCATATAGAACAGGCGTTTTTGCGACTACTGGGCACCTTCATGGACGAGTGTGGGTGGGCTGAAATAGCAACACACGCGGGCATCACATCATCTGAAGCAGGGGCTGAAGCGTTACTTAAGGTACACCACATCAAGAAGTCACGAGCTGCACATGAAGCAACGGCGGCGGCACTCTACATACTGCTGGAAAAAGCTCACACTGAATTATGTGATACAGAGGCCACAATGAGTGAATGGGCACAGGAGCAAGTGGATTCTCCCACCTTTTATTTTTGGTGGACTGTACTTAAGCTAGAGTTGTTGCTACTAAGTTTTGTCGGTTCCTTACGCAGCTCAACCTATGACCGATACCTCTCCAGTATAAAACAGATGCTGCCTCATTTCTTCTCGTGGGACAAAATAAATTACGCTAGGTGGCTAACTGTTCACCTCACAGACCTTCTCGAGCTGCCACATACAGCACCCGATGTGCATTCTGCCTTCACCAAGGGTTTCTTTTCGCTTGCCAAAACAAGGGAACCATTCACGCGAATGTCACCAGACCAAGTACACGAGCAAAACAACAAGCTGGTTAAAGGACAGGGCGGTGCCATCGGACTCACAGAAGATAGGCAATCACTGATGCGCTGGATGCTTGCTGGGCCGGAGGTGCAAAAACTGGTGAATGAGTTTAGCCCAACTAAGATCAATGCAGCAACAGAGGGACTGGAGACGCGACATGACCAGTACAGTGCCATCCAGGTAGTGTTGCATTTAACACCTCTATCAGGCGCGTGCTAAGGGGGTAGGACAGAGGGTGGGCGGGGCTCCTCCCCCTCCCCTATTTCCCGTGGGCCTCCTGAAAAATAGGCAGTTTGAAAAACAAAACGTCCGTACGTATGTAACTTTCAATACACCCTCCCCCCCCCCTCTCCCCTTCATACGCCCCTGCCTTTTAACTGATTACGTAAAATGTTCAAAATATATTAATTGATTTTGGGGGGGTTTTCAGACTGCGTTTAGAAAAAAAGTAATTGCACTTATAGAGTGCTTTTCAGAGCGGGGAAACCCTTTCCTTCAGACCAGCTCTGAGCTCATTAATATTCACACGGGCGATATTTTGGGACCAGATGCCGTGACAGCACTCAGAAATATGGAATCAGACGGCGTAAATGCTCTCAAATCTTTCATCGACGAGAGAATAATTGGTCAGAAACGCTCTGTGTTCGACCCCATAAAAAAATTCAACCGTAAGGTGTTCGCCGCTCGCTCAAAAAATATTCAAGGAAAGGCTGTCCAAATTAAGAGTCTGCAGATGGATGCTCAACTCTTTCTGCAGTTATACATAATGAGTGAACACCGCCAGTTAGATCTTAAAGTTTTTTTCTCTTATGAGAACCAGGTGTGCCCACCATCTGTCAGCAAGAACGGCGACCTGAGGTTACCTGATAACAAGAGCGAAATCATCCCGTTGCTGACCGATGGCGTCGAAGGGGCTGGCGCGGCCCCAGAATCGCCAGATTGTCTCATCATCGACGCCAGCATACTTTTGCGCGTTTGGGAGCCCCGTAAGTCCAAAACATTTGCGGACTACTGGCTGAAAGACTTCAAGCCAAACCTGTTAAGGGAGGCAGCCAACCTGGGTAAGCAACGCCTCGATCTGGCTTGGGACATGTACTCGCCTTCCAGCCTAAAGAGAGCCACCAGACAAAAACGGGGAAGTGGGCAAAAAATGCAAGTACTGCTCAAAACATTACTCCCCAAAAACTGGAAAAATTTCTTACTCAATGACGACAACAAAACCGGTCTCTTCAAGCTGCTTGCAGAACAGTCCTTAAATTTGTCTCCTGAACTACTTGTCGTAACCAACGTTGGCGATAAGTTCTTTGCCTCTCAGACAGCGGGGACGCAGCTCGCTGGACTTCCCTGCGTTTTAGAAGAGGCCGACGCACGCCTTATT